CTACGCTCGTCGTGTAGTCGGGGAAAAAGGAAACACGGTGCCCGTTGAAAGAGAGCGGAGCTCTGCTGCGAGCTCTCCTCAGGATCTCTGCCGCGTCTCCGTCGTGATGTAATTTGGCGATGATGACTCTTGGTAGCTCCCGATCTCTAGGTCCTCTCCCGATGAATGTGCGATGTGAGCGGTCTACCTTTATATCTCGGTCCATCTGTAGCACTTCTTTGATTTTTGCCACCGCCTGTGGGGAGCTAGAGCCCGGGCGTTCTTCAATGCCCGCGATGCGGATATTGGATCTTCTCATTCTTCCCTCTAGATCCTCACATTTATCCTTGAGCGTTGACATTTCCTCGTTCATAAACCACTCTTTAAGTCCAGAACCTCCGTTTTTATGGTATCCACTTCAGCTTGTATTGCCTTTGAATTGCTAGCAATTTCAGAGCGGACCGCTTGCAGTTCGGATTTTATAGCTTGGAAATCATCCGCCAATTCACCTTTAAGTTTGTCTCTTATCACCTTAGCGATATCTCCTCTCAATGACCGTAAAATGTCTGCTTTCAGTTCTTCGCTATTCGTATTTGGCTCACCAGAACCCGTGGTTACCGATAGGTCGGCATCTTCTGTTGTTCGCTGCCTCGGGGTTCTAGCAGGTCTTGTAGCATTAGCGTCGTTTCCGTGTCTGAATTTTTGAAGTTTTTCGGCCATTCCGGATAATTATGTCCAAACTTTCTAGCTTATTTATGGTCCCAAGGCTTCCTCTTCAGTATATCCACAGATGTCAGCGTGGTTAAAACTCATCTAAATTTAAGGTATTTCATACAGTTTGTTCAATGTTATCTTACTCTCCAGATATGAATGAAAGGCAGAATTTGTGTTTTTAGAGTTGTTCACATCTGCCTGAGTGGCTTATATTTGGTTATTTTGTCATATGAAAAATAAAGATAATTGTGACAATGAAAATAGTTTTATAACAGTGTGTATTTGCATGAAACTTTTGTAGTTAAAAAATGTCCGAACAAACTGTTGGCCCCCGGGCATCTTCACTTTATCAAATCTGGCCCTCTTTGCAAAACGTTTAGACACCCTTGCTCTAGAGTCTAGTTTATGATTGATTTTATTATGTTGTCCTGTGTTCTTATGTCTTACTGTACTGCTGCCTCTTAGCCAGGTCTCCCTCGAAAAAGAGATGTTATCTCAAGGGACTTCCTGGTAAAATAAAGGTTAAATAAAATAAATAAATTATTTCCATGTGTGTTTCAGGTTTACCTGCACATGTTCAGCAGGTGTTGGTGGTTAAAGAAGAATATCCCTGGAACCCGAGTCTGGACCAACAGGACCCAGAAGGCCTCAACATAAAGGAGGAAGAGGACCAACTGTGGACCAGTCCAGAGGAGAAGCAGTTTCATGGACAGGAAACAGATATCAGGAAGTTCTCAGGTAGCGCTGTGACTGTGAAGAGTGAAAATGAAGAAGAGAAACCTGAGCTTTCACAGCTCTATCAGATCAAAACAGAAGGTAACAGAGAGTCGGAGCCTCCAAGCAGCAGCTCAGCTGAACAGATGAAAGCAGAAGCTGATGGAGAGGACTGTGGAGGACCAGAAGCAGCCGGGAACCCAGACCTAGATGACCCTTTAGCATCAAACACTGATGAAAAAACATCAGACTCCTCTGAGACTGAAGTCAGTGATGAGGATTATTGGGGGAAATCTTCAGATACTCTGCCTGAGACTGTGGATGGAAAGAGAAATTGGAAACCAACTCCAGTGTCTGACTCTGGTGTAACTCATGATAAGGATTTTAACACAGCAGGAAAACCATACAGCTGCTCTGAGTGTGGAAAGCAGTTTTTGTGTAAAACCTACTTAAAGAAACACTTACAAGTCCACACAGACGAGAAACCTTTTGACTGCCATGAATGTGGAAAGAAGTTTAACACAAAATGTAACTTACAGTCTCATATGAGGGTTCATACTGGAGAGAAACCATTTACCTGTGATGACTGTGGGAAAATGTTTAGTTTGAAAAAAACACTTACAACACACAAAAGAGTCCATTCAGGAGAGAAACCTTTTGCTTGTAACCTATGTAGTAAAAGATTTAGTGTGAAAGAAAAGCTTACAAACCACCTGAGAGTCCACACAGGGGAGAAACCCTTTAGCTGCGGAGACTGTGGAAAAGGATTTATTGAGAGAAAAGCACTTTCACAACACCTGAGAGTTCACACAGGAGAGAAACCCTTTAGCTGCGGTGACTGTGGAAAAACATTTAGTAATAAAGTAGCACTTTTAGGACACTTGAGACTCCACACAGGAGAGAAACCATTTGCTTGTAATGACTGTGGGAAAACATTCAGTGAGAGTAAAAAACTTACACGGCACAGAAGAGTCCACACAGGAGAGAAACCTTTTGCTTGTAATGACTGTGGGAAAAGATTCAGTAAGAGGGACACTCTAAAAGTGCACACAAGAGTCCATACAGGAGAGAAACAATTTGCTTGTAATGACTGTGGGAAAAGTTTCAGTCAGAGGGCAAATCTCAAAGCGCACACAAGAGTCCACACAGGAGAGAAACCATTTTCTTGTAATGACTGTGGGAAAAGGTTCAGTGAGAGGAAAAAACTTACACGGCACACCAGAGTCCACACAGGAGAGAAACCTTTTGCTTGTAATGACTGTGGGAAAAGATTCAGTCAGAGGGAAACTCTCGAAGAGCACACAAGAGTCCACACAGGAGAGAAACCATTTGCTTGTAATGACTGTGGGAAAAGATTCAGTGAGAGGGGAACTCTCAAAGTGCACACAAGAGTCCACACAGGAGAGAAATCATTTGCCTGTAGCGACTGCAGTAAAAGATTCAGTGTCAGAGGAAATCTTAAAAGACATATGAAAGTTCACACGAGAGCCTAAACCAAACCTTAACTCAATTAAATGAGACATGATATGATTCTTTTACAGGTCAAGATGATTTCCTGAGGTTTTAGGGAAATGTCTTTACCCCTGCACATTTTTTAAACCCTCATCTCTGTAGATCCTTTCTTTGTAGATGGTCTTAGAGAGCAGAGTGAGCTCCACTCTGTCCTGTGAGGAGGGAAGGGTGCATAATTTTGGGATATTTAGTTAAAACTCACTTTTTTATCAAGAATTTTCATCTCTTATGTTCAGAAAAGCTGCTAATATGAACAATGTTTTGTGATGTTACATGTTCATTTCTGTATTGACAGCGTCCTGTAATGAAACATTAAACCAATTGATATTTGAAACTTGTATCATACCATTTACATGTAGATTTACTTACTGTTGTAATAAACAATCTTTTAAACTAGATTTGGGTGTTTCTTTTTGGGTTAGGGTCCGCCCACGTGCGCGCACCCGCGGCACAGATCTACAGATTATTGTTTCAGAGTTAACCCCAGATGTCCATAAGGGGATGCTCATTAAAGAAGAGGTTCCCTGGAGCTCCACTCTGGACATGCAGGACCCAGAAGTCCTCAACATAAAGGAGGAAGAGGGGGAACTCTGCAGCAGTCAGAAGGGAGAAGGCTTTAGTGGGCTGGAAGAGGCTGATGTTAGCAGGATTTCAGTCACTGCTGAGACTGTGAAGAGCAAACACAGGGAAACCAGAGCTCTGGAGGCTAGCTTGTAGCAGTGCTAACAAATCTATTAGCTGCGCTGCATGTGCTCACCAATTTGTCTCCAAACACTCTTTGAAAACACACATGCTGCACACATGCAGGACACTCCCAACCACAGCCCTAGGAACACCTGCAGGAAGTCATAGGAGGAGAGAGGAGAGGGAGGAGAAAGCACACCACTACGGGAAAGGGAGGAAGTCCAGTTAGTCAAATATATTAATGGAATGGGTTCTGGGTTGGAGTCCCGGGGGAACCAGGACCAGAGGGTTCGGCCTGGAAACTCCTCAGCAGGGATCAGAATCACAGCATCTTTGTTTTATGGTTCAGATTGTGGATTCATGTTGATCACAAACAACGTTTCCTGTTTCCATTCAAATAAACTTTATTTCGAAGGTGTTTTGAGAGAAAAGTTTATTAAAGTTAGTGAGGAAATGTTAATATAACTAAATGATTGGTTTAAATTTCAGCTCATTACATGAAATTACAAAATGTAAATTCACGTATTCATTTGTTTAGTTTTTTTATTTTACTCGGAATGGTCAGTTACGAGTGGGGGACGGAGCGAACCCGGAAGTGGGCCCTCGTTGCCGTGGTAA